TAACCCAGGGTTTAGGAATGTACAATGTGAAACAGCAGCTTACAAATACCCAGGATTGATTGTTATTATTATAAAATTATGAGCAGTGTTCAAACGTCAATTTGATAACCCAGGATTCTGTCACCCAGGGGTTACTATTTCAAGAGTGAAAAGCCCTACTGTCTGTTTTGCACTGTAAGATTTTAGTACCATTGTTTTTGGCTCAATAAGTAATGCAGGAAAGCACATTGGTGGAAGATCGCATGCGAGAGCGTATTCTCTTCCGCTTTTTTAGCGTTTCAATCATTTTAATCCCAAATTCTGTCATCCTATTTATAGAAAACTACTCTGAAGAGTGACACATAATCTAAAAAGTCTATTTGTGTAGGCAAGTTTGAAAAATAAGGTTGATAAATGATTGTAAAGAGTGTCTATTCTGTTTGGTATTGGTATAAGTTTAAGCACTCAAACCTGATTCATTGTGACAGGTGGCTCGGATGGATCACGTCTCTATGATTGCGTTTGGCGATACAACTCCAGTGTGAACGAGTGGACTGAGGTCTCCCCCATGCTGAAAGCCAGAGAGTACCACAGCTCCTGCGTCATGAAGAGTCAACTCTATGTGGTAGCTTCTGACAGCACAGAGCGCTATGACCATACCCTAGACTGCTGGGAGGCTCTTCCACCCATGCTGCATCCCATGGATAACTGTTCAACTACAGCATGTAGGGGACGGCTCTACGCCATTGGATCCTTAACCGGAGAGGACACAATGGCAATACAGTGCTACGATCCTGAAAGCAACCGCTGGTCACTAATCAACGGTGGAGAACTGCCTCCGTGGTCCTTTGCCCCCAAATCAGTGACTCTAAATGGCTTGATCTACTTTGTAAGGTGAGGTGGTCACTTTTTTTTCCAGTTCCTTGTTTGCAGAAAATGGAATGATGAAGAAAATGTACTTGTATATGTTTCACATAACAACGCTTGTGTTTCAGGGATGATTCGGCAGAAGTTGATGTCTACAACCCACAGAAACACGAATGGGACAAGATTAGTCCCATGGCACAAGTATGTCAATTTTGCCTTGTTTCAATCCATTAACATGCAGTCACATTTACCGCTGTTCTACAAATTTTAACAATCAAAATTTAGTCATTTAAATAGTAATCTATGTGAACTGGAATTTCACTTATTGTGCAAAATATTTTCCCACAATGATTTTTTTGGTCATACATCACTTTTTGACCTCAACCAGTCATTATAAACTAGATAGCAGTTCTATAGCAAGTAAGCGCAAAATTTCTAGGGCAGTGCAATACTTTGGAACATATTTCAATATTTATTTTCATAATACGATGAAATATATTACAAAAAATATTAACTAAGCATTGAAATATATATATTTTTTGTCCCTCCCATCTCGTTTATTTCCATCACCATGTCCCCTTAGGGGCTCTGCAGTAAAACAGTTTTGTTATTATCAACCAATTAAAATGAATACAGTTATAATATATGATGATAAAAGATACCAAACTAACTTGCATTTTCACACGGATAAGTAAAAAGTCTTCACTTACAACATTTACAGGTTCATGTTGGAGGCAGTGTAGCAGTTTTGGGGGGTCGACTCTTTGTGTCCGGTGGCTATGACAACACCTTTGAGCTATCTGACGTGGTTGAGGTCTACGACCCCTCTACTCGATCTTGGACGCCAGCTGGCCGGCTCCCCCAGCCCACTTTCTGGCATGGAAGTGTTAGCATATTCCGACAGTTCATGCCCCTTGTTCCAAGCACCTTCGAACCCATTGACGTACCCGAGGCCAACGCCATCCACCTCCACAGACACCACCGCCACCAGGCACTTTACAACCACAACAACAATGTTAATCAGAACCACAACCAAGATGTCAATCAAGTGCATTGAGAACTTTTCGAAACATTAAACTGAAGGTCATTCAATGTGACATCGCTACTAAGTGTTTTGCACTTTATCACATATTCACCTCAACTGGGCAGTAAAGGGAGCTGGTGAATGGACAGTCAATGTTTGCGTTATTTCTCCAAGTAACCCAGTGTTGCTACAGCTTTAATTGTTGCATGCATTTCTAATGCTGGCTGTGTTTACCTTGAACAGAGACTTAAGTGAAGTGACTCATGAAATAGTGCCTATCGTGTTTGGCCAATTTCAAGCAATCCATGCCTTTGAAATTGCATGGCGGTTACACTCATTATTCTGCTCTTATTTATTTTATAATTCAGCATGGACCTAAAGTTATTCGCAACATTGGAACTTCAAACCCCCAAAATATAACATAATATAATATATCATTACATAATGAGAAGTCCAAAAATAATTTTGAGACCCCCAAGCATTCCAATAGGTTAAAGTTTGGATCACTTAGATTGTAGATTGTTTTTAGCTTAAATTGATTGTATTCTGAAATGTGTAGTATTTTATATAAGCTGAGAAGAGTTGAAATGAAATATTTTGGAGAATCCAAGACTTCCCAAAAACAACAATTTTGTTTGACAGACAAACTTAAAATCGGGGTAAGTGTAACCCATATTTTTTTTGTGCTTATTATAATTACATGTCAGACAATCTTGCATGCATGCAGTGGTCATATTTTAAGTGCGTTTGTATTAGACTTGCTTTTAAACTCATATTTTAATATTAAATTAAGTTTGATTATCATTGTTTATTTTAGAGAAACTGTTACAGTTTGTGAGAAACAGCTTGTTTTTTTTTTGAGCTGTCTCCATTGGTGAAAAATCAATGAAGGTATTGTTTGTATGCCAGATTGTTTTAGGAAGCTGTACTAATAACTGGAATTAGTAATTCAGTATCTCATTATTCTTGAGTAAATGTATGTTTGACAATATATGTTTGACAATACCAGTAATTATGAAACTAATTATTACAATACGCTGAAGCGGTACTTTACTTTTTATTTTTCTTACAGGTTTAGTTTGTTTTGTGGCCAAAATTATTTGTCCAACACAGACAAGGAGATGATTTGTGTAATGTTTGTATGTGTGGTCAACCAATAAATGACTTAATCACTGTTACTTTTGGTCTTTTCATACATGTATGTACCACCTTTTGTGTTAGACGCATCTAATTTTCCATCAAGTTGGGATTGGTACATCCTGTCTTCAGGAATCAATCAGTGGAAGACAGTATAAGGATGCAGAAAGAGACATCAGCTGAAGCACATCCAGTCGTCGATGATTAACACACACAAGTTTAACTCCATAATGAAGATAAAACTAAAAGATTAGGACAAGTCAACAAAAATTCTAGTCTGGGTTTCCCCATACTGCCTTACCGCAGCGCGATTTTATTCACGCTGAAAGGCAGTATATGGATACCATGGCCAGATTTTCGCCTCATTTAGGGAACCAATCACAGAGCGGGGAGGAAGCAGTTTGTTTATATCCATGGATTCAACATGGCAGCAGACGCGAAGCTACCTTTTGATGCAGCCTTAGATATTGTTTTAAGTAGTTTAGAATGCAAGTTTATTTAGAAAAAAAGAGCCGCTTTTGGTGTTAAACTTCGGCGGTCAACCTTGGAATATCTGCCGCTTTAGCTTTGTCCCGAGAAAGAAAAGCAATAAAGAATTGTCGATACCAACTTCTGTTCGGAAGTCCCGACCCGAGGCCTGGATGAGCGCAAAGTGGCAAGACATGTTAGCCACGGAGTTGTATAGTATCAACCTGCTAGGCATCGTCGTCCACGAAGTCCATGTAACTTATAAATGGTAAGTGGTATTTATTAATATCATATGTTCATTATGCCTGCGTAGACTACCTACTGTGGTGGTTGTTGTCACAGAGCCACTAAGTTGTGTTGCTTTTCAATATCAATACACAGCTACCGCTAGTACTATAACTTTCAGCTGTGCACACGTGCCCGATTAAAGTTGTTGACGCTTTAGTCATTAAATTAAATTATCATTTTTTTAACTTGTGAAGTACAAGCGCAAACAATTTCCAATGCAAATAACAACTTCAACAACGATTGGCTTTGAGCTAAGTGCAGGAGCATTTGATAGACGTTCTTAGCACCCAATTAACGGCGCCGGGCATTCGTAAAACCACGCCTCTAATACGAGAAAATGAACATGTGGTTCCCAGACCCAAGTCAACGTGTAATCAATCAACGTGTAATTTAAAAAAATATATAATTAATTAATAATTACTTCAAACTATTTAACAAGAAGTGCATAGAAAAGTGAATAAAACAGACGGATTTGGATTTCTGTTTTTATGATTTATTCTATTAAAACAAAAGTATACATGAAGCGTATGACTGTTTTAATTTACATTATGAAATCCAGATGCTGAATAAATCATGACATTCTCTAACAAGAACTTTGGTTGTACATTATTAAATCCAAATTTGTCAAATATCTTGTAGCTTAAAGTGCCAGTCACTTAGCTAGTAGAAATAAGATTCCACTTTCTCCATATAGAATAAAATGTTAAGTTTTGCCAGTTCATTCAAACAGAGAGAGTATTTTCAACCAAATATTGTACGTAGTTTGACCCGAAACATTGATAAACAGCATTGCATTTTGCAACAGTTGGGTTGAATGACTTATACTGAGACAATCTCATGATTTCAAATTCATAGATAACTCAATGAATTCAATATCAATATCATGAACATTAATATTAAAAATTTCTTATCTGTATTTCATGCAGGAATACTGTTTATTTACAATGCTTGACATATCTTAATGACTTTTAATACATATTCCACCCTCCCCGTGTCTGCTCTGGAGTCAAAAAGTCTCCATTTAAACTTTCCCATCAGCCCCAGTGCTGGGCAGTTCCACCACCACACTGGACTGATGGATGGGGTACGTGTCAGTCACCAGCAGTGTCTGCTCCATCACATCTGCTACAGTGAACGGAGTCTGCTCCATTCCACCATCAGTCCTTCCAGTCAGAGCAAACCCAGGCTGTTCACCATTCACTGAATATGTGGCCTGGTCTTCTCCCGTTCCTCCAGCAGAGGCTGAGACGACCTGTTGCAACACAACCGTCTCTGGCTGGATAACCAGGTTAACCATGTCCGCTGGTCCTGCCTGAACCTCTGTCTGGCTGGAAGGACTGGATGAGGCAGCTGCATTCTCATCCTCCACGATCAGGTTACGTAGCCGTCTTTGTCTGGGGTTGTAGTTCTCCACACGGTTGTGGATCTGCGAGTGTCGTCGCAAATGTGCCTGTCAAAAGCAATAAAGAGACACTGAGCTCTTAAGACCTCAAGTAGGAGATCAAAACATCTGATATGTTAACCTTTATCATACCTGTCTGGTGAACTTGTAACCACATTCAGAACACTCAAATTTTCTCATGCCTTTGTGACGTCGTACATGAACACGGAGCTGCTCGATGGCTGAAAGGGCATCATGGGATATAAATTGTTATTCAGTACTACTAATTACTTGAAACCACTGCCTTTCATATATTCTTGTTATTGAAATAAATAAAAATATTCTATTTAATTTGATAAAAAGTGTAAATATATAAATAAGAAAATTAATCATTTTAGATATTTTATACAATCACCCATGCAAATATGTCATTCAAGTAAAAAATAATAGGAAATAATCACTTTTTTTTTTAAAAACAATAACATTAATGAAAATAATATTTATAATGTCATATAAACTAAATACATTTTATTTAATTCTTAGAACATTTATTGAATGTAATATTCACATTTTATATAATTATATAAATGTATAATAAAAATAATCCACATTTTAACAATGTAATGTAAATTTATTTCAAGTCAAAAATAACCTAAAAAATGATCAATATCTATGTATCTGTCTATATGTCTATCTGTCTTTCAATCTCTATCTATCTATCTATCTATCTATCTATCTATCTATCTATCTATCTATCTATCTATCTATCTATCTATCTATATCTATATCTATATCTATCTATCTATCTATCTATCTATCTATCTATCTATCTATCTATCTATCTATCTATCTATCATCCATCTATCCTATCTATCTATCTATCTATCTATCTATCTATCTGTGTCTATCTATCTATCTCTCTGTGTCTATCAATCTATCTGTCTGTCTATCTATCTATCTATCTATCTATCTATCTATCAATCTATCTATCTATCTATCTATCTATCTATCTATCTATCTATCTATCTATCTATCTATCTATCTATCTATCTATCTATCTATCTATCTATCTATGTATGAATGACAAGTAAAAAAACATGTCACCAAATTGCCCCAAAAGTGTAACTGTATAACTCTATATGTAAATCTCACCTTTAAAAGTTTTGTTGCATATGTGGCAAAAATGTGGTCGGCCTTCTTGGTGTTTGCTGGCTATATGGCGTAATAGAGGACCTTTCTCAGTGAAGCGTTGCTCACAGAACTCACAACTAAATGGCCGCTCTCCTGTGTGTGTGCGGTGGTGTTTGTCCAGACTCGCTGCTCACACAATCAGAAAATTGTTTAATAATACAACAGCAACAGAGAAACTGCATGGATTCGGTTTTAAAAATGAATTGGAAATCTAAATGGCCACAATTAAATCCCTTTGAAGGCAAAGAAAAAGTTACCTTGTGTGCGAAACGTCTTGCCACAGAGGTGGCACTGGAAAGGTTTCTCTCCAGTATGTGTTCGAAGGTGCATGTTGAGATTGGCTTTCTGGGTAAAAGCATGATTGCAGAACTCGCACACAAAAGGACGCTCATTTCTGAAGAGAAGCGCAACAAATGTGGTTCAGCATTAATTCAAAAGGTAAACCCAAAACATACAAAACTGACAGAAATAATGAATAACAATATGAACAACAAATAAAGTATGTTTCAGTGATGTCACATGCCTGTGAATGGCTTTGATGTGCATTTGCAGGCCGTTGCGGCTGGAGGCCCGGTGGCCACACTCCTCGCACACAAACAGTTTCTCACCACGATGTTTGGCTGCCTCGTGCAGACGTAGCTCAGTGCGGGAGAGGAAACACTTGGTACACAATGAACACTACACAACACACATAACTTTTATTAGTAATACCTAACATTTGATCTGATATATCTGGTTTCGTTTTTAATGGCATTGCAGACCAAGTTATTAGCATTAGAATAACTTACTGCGTGTGGTTTAGGAGCTCCGTGAATTTTAATCATGTGGATCCTGAGATCTTTCTTCTGCATGAACTGCTCAGAGCATGATGTGCACTAAAACGACAAATAAAATTACATTGCCGAAATGTCCCCGGACAAAAAGGTCACATCTGACCTCCACAATGGATGATGTACCTTATTGGGCATCTCTCCTGTGTGCGTGACTGTGTGAAGACGCAGCTCATGTCGCTTTTTAAAGGTCATGGTGCATTTTGAACACGAAAACACCTGGCACAAATTTTAGACACAAAGGTGCAGGAAGTAAGTTGCCACTGTGCAACAGTAAACACCAAACAGGACACATTATGGTTATTCCTATTGCATGCATCCATATTTTAAATTGTCTCCCATATCAAACTTACCACTTCTGTTCTGCTAAGACAATTCCTGGCTTCATGCTCCAGCAGGTTTTCCTTCCTATAGTAGCACTTCCCACACTTAGTACATTCAAAGGGCTTCTCCCCTGTATGTCTCCTTGCAGACAGGAAAAGATCAGTCATATTAATTCATTAATTAAATTGCAATTACCAGTCAGCCTTTAACATTAATCCTATATATGTATGTAATATGAATTACATTACCATTCATTTAGTAAAGACATTTATAATGTTAAAGACGTTCAAATAAATGCTGTTCATTTGAGCTTTATATTAATCAAATACAACTGAAGAAAATGTATCATCATTTCCACAATTTTCCAAATGATTAATAGTAAGAAATGTTGCGTTGAGTAGCAAATCAGCATATTAGATCATTTCGGAAGGAACATCTGAGTCAGCTTTGATATCACAGGAATAAATTACATTTTACAATATATTAAAACAGAAAACAATTCCTTTAGCATAAGATACTTCTTTCAAAATCTACCAAATGTAAAATGATAGTGCACATA